TCCGAGTATCGTCTCATCATTATGTAAGCGAATCCCACGTAATAGAAGGTCGTTGTCTGACAGGCCAGCACTGGCGCCGTCGCCATCATCTGCAGCTGTTGTCGGTTGAGGTCTATGTTCTCCAAGACTTTGATGGCCTGGTAGTAGTCGCCCAGAAGTGAGTGCAGACGAAGTAAACCAATTAAACTGAAGTAACCCAACATTTTGTAGAGCGGCTGACGTCCGAACTCTCCCGACACCAGATCCGGGTCGCGACCAATGCTGAACTCCTTCAGCTGTTCGTTGATATTGGACTTATCGACCAAAGAGTGCAAGACATTGATCACTGAGTGGACGTTCCACACCTGAGGACTCTTCAGCAACTGTTCCTCTTCCTGTTCGGGTCGGTTAGTCTTTCCCTTATAGATACTGAACGACTGGAACTGATAGATGAACTCATCGATGATATCCCAGAGCCACTGATTGGGCAGCTCTAAGGCGACCGGCTTTTCGGCGCTTAAGATGTAATTAAATAAATTGCAATAATTATAGTACGAGAGGAACCGGTGCTTCAGAGTTGGCTGACATTTGGCGTATATGTGGCGGTAATACAGCTCTTTGTAGAGAATGGTGAAGATCTGGGATTCTTCGAGAGGCACCACAGCTGCCAACTCCTCCCTCTCAGGCCACGGGCTGTCCGAGTAATAGGTTTCCGAGAGCTTAACGAAAGTGTTTTCGTATAAGTTCTGAATGTCGTAAACGTTTCGGTCGATTATCGCCTTCCGGAGTAACACCAGAAAGTCTTGAACCAAATCCGGCACAAAGTTCTGGGCGTAAGTGCTGTCGTAGTTGGGGTCACTCGGATCCATGGCGTAGCCATCCTGTGGACCGTAATTGTAGTCCTAATGGCAGACAATCATTAGATTCAATGCATTCCTCATATAGTCTCATGACTTACCTCTTCATAATCGTCGTAATAATATCCTTTAGACATCTTTGGATCAGCTTTTCGGTGACAATACTATCGAGAAAAGCAATGAATGAGACCTCAAACTAGAGCCCAAACACGTTGTCATCAATTGTCTCACAAATTACGTCCAAAACATAAAATACGACAAAATTGACCACAAATTTGAAAACAAATTGAGATTCAATTGGGAAGCGATTGGATGATCGGCTCCAAGACATGTCCACCGCTGCCAATGTGCCCAAAGCTCTTCTGCAGCAATTGATCCAAACATTTCCGCATCGCTTCTCCTATGCCTTTGCCTACGGCTCCGGAGTTTTCACTCAAAACATCACCAAAACTGATGACAACAAAAAAGACGCGGATTTGCGGAAGAATATGATTGACTTGATTCTGGTGACCGACGACTCGCAGGACTTCCACCACAAGAACCTCATTAGAAACAGAAGCCATTACTCAGTGTTGGGCTCTTTGGGACCCAAATGGTTGACAACAATTCAGGAGAGTTTTGGTGCAAAAGTCTATTTCAATACTTTGATCCAAATGGACGACTATCTCATCAAATATGGTGTCATTTCCACCAAACATCTCATCGCCGATTGTCTCGATTGGCAGACGCTGTACATCAGCGGACGTCTACACAAACCGGTGGTTGTTCTTCAAGAGCCCACTTCCAGTGACTTATCGACAGCTCTTGCGATCAACATCGAGAGTGCCATTCATTCGGCACTTATTCTTCTGTCGGAAACCTTCACTGAAGAGCAGTTGTACACAACGATCGCTGGTCTCTCATATTTGGGTGACTTTCGTATGACTTTCGGCGAAGACAAGCAAAAGGTACAGAAGATAGTTCGGCCACAGATTCATAACTTCCGACACTTATATCAACCACTCATCACATCCAAGACGTTGAGTCGATTAGTCGACTGGAATCCCCACTCGAAGGCCTATCGCCAGGACTGTTCCCCTAATAGCTTGTATTACCACTTAAACCATTTGCCCAAAACGGTTGAGCGCTATGTCTCAGACGAGTGGAACCGTGAGAGTCGCCATCCCTTCACTGATATGGACGAGCTGTTGAAGAATCTGGCGAACAGTATAGAGTGCAAGACATACGTGAAACAAGCCATTCACAGGATTGTCCAGAACTCCAGTATGTCTCAGAGCTTTAAGGGACTGTTCACTGCAGGCCTTCTTAAGTCCTTTCGGTATAGCAATCAGAAAATTAGTAAAATGTTTAGAAGTTTTTCATGAATTCAAAGTCTAGTCATCTGTGCCTTTCTTTGTACAGTAATTATTGAAGTATAAGATAATAACTTATTTAGATTTTTAAGAATGTATTCAAATTATAATAAACTTTTAATTTCGTTGATTACCCAAAAATATTTTATGAGTTCATTGTTTTTACAGTATTTGAAAACCCATAATAAGGTCATTTAAAAGTATAGTCATTATAGTCTTAAAAAGTTAATCAAAATGAATTTTTATTATATTTTTCTCTAGGAATTTATTTATCAGTACCGATTAATTATTTGTTAAAAATAAAATCCAAATTAAATTCCTAGAATTACATTTATAAATGTAAAAATAAAACTATAAATTTAATATATTGATATGAGAGAGTTTAATTAACAATCTGCAAATACCGTGATAAGTAAATGTTTAATGGCTTTGGTATAAATATTTTTATGAATGTGTTTATACGTAAATAAGTAATTATAACGGGGAGTATATTAAGAAATTTTATAATTTCTTAAGTTAATTGAAATATAATAACAAATGACTTTCAACTTCTCAATAAAGTTAAACTAATATTTATCAATAAGTGCTTTAAGTATTTTATAGCTACCGAATAAACAGTACGGAGTTGTAGTGCATAGTGTGGTAATAAGTGGTACTTATGAGCAAATTCCGGTGCAGTTAAGTTAAGCATTCACCAGAAACTGACAATTAAATGCCTGTCAAAATATCTCACTAATAATTTATAGTATTTCATATCAATATTACTCTAAGAACTCACATAAACTTTTATAACTATAATTATTATTCAAATATGATTGCAACTAAAAGTTATAAATATTAATAAATATTCTTATTGTTTGTAGTGATATATAATTACAATAAAGACAACTATAGATAACAAACAATAAATTAAACGAAAATAAATTGAAGCAATGTAATAGTTTATCACAAGTTTAGCATAACATATTGTATTATGCTAGAATAGTTAAAAGTCAAAGCAAATTATGTTTTCATTGACTCATTGGTTGTTAATTAAGACATCCTTAAGAATGTTTTAAATGGAAACCAATTGTAATGGAAAAACGAGTGGAATCTTAAAAATTGCAGCTGTCTATAGTCTAGACCTCCTGTGCCCCTATGCCCACCCATGTAGACATTTATGCATTTTTGCCTCACAATACTGGAGTGCCTTATGTTATAATANTCTTGGAGAACATAGACCTCAACCGACAACAGCTGCAGATGATGGCGACGGCGCCAGTGCTGGCCTGTCAGACAACGACCTTCTATTACGTGGGATTCGCTTACATAATGATGAGACGATACTCGGACGCCATCCGCACGTTCACCAACATTCTGGTGTATCTGCAGCGCACCCGTCAGATGTACCACCAGTACCGCACATTCCAGTTGGATCTGATTGAGAAGCAAACCGATCAGATGTATAAACTGCTGTCCATTTGTCTGGCACTACACCCGCAGAGAATCGACGAAACAGTTTTGTCTCATTTGACGGAAAAGATGTCGGACTCGATGCAGAAGTTGCAGAAGGGAGACCTCAAAGAGTTCGAGAATGTCTTTAAGCTCTCGTGTCCCAAGTTCTTGTCTCCAGTGGTTGGCAATTACGAGAGCCCATTGGCCAACGCCACGCCCGCCCCTCGAGTGGACCCCTGGAAGCACCAGATGAAGGTGTTTACCGAAGAGGTAGCCCAACAGTATCCGCTTCTGGAGATCCGCTCGTATCTGAAGCTCTACACAACAATGCCTATCAAAAAGTTGTCCACTTTTGTGGAACTGCCCGAAGACGAGTTCGTACGCAATCTGTTGTGCTTTAAGCATAAGATGCAGAATCTTGTTTGGACTAAAGGACAGTCAGGTTTGGACGGGGAGTTCCACTCGGAGTCTGACGTCGACTTCTATATCGATAAGGTTTGTGTGCTTTTGCCATAATCTGGTGTTTGATTGAAATGATATTAAATAAGTGAATCGATTCGATAGGATATGATACACATCGCCGACACAAAGGTGGCCCGACGTTACGGCGATTGGTTCCTGAGGCAGATCCACAAATTCGATGAACTCTATCGACTCATCTCTAATATCAATCTCTAAATTCCATGTCTTTTAGTGTATTTGTATTTTGAAATTA